ATACATTAACCCATTACTGCGGGTATATTCTGAAGCTGAAAATAAAAGATTCTGGGTGGCTACAAAAACGGCGCATGGGGCTAGCCCGGACTCTGCCTGTGTGCCAGCCGTGGCCCGCTGCTGCATCGGAGCACGAGCCCCAATACAGCGTCACACTGGCGGGACCCGCAGCAATGTTTATTTTTTCGGCTGTCTCATATCTGGGACACCCGTCATTACTAGGTTAACAAGATATGACAAGTAACTCTGAAGTGCAGTCGATCTGACCAAACATATTTAACCCATCAGCGATGGGTAAAAATTTTGTAAAGTTTACGTATGCACCGGCTTGTTGGCGCGCACTGGCAGTTTCCCCTGTTTGCGCCCGGCTCGATCGGTAGTTAGCGAGCGACATATAGCACCTAAAAGCTTTTATTTTGCTAAAATTTATAAAAATATTAAAATTTTGAAGGTTTACGTTCACTTTAGGTGCCATTGCCTAAAATCTTTACCATATAAATGAAGCCGCTACTAGTGGAGAAAAACAACCTCCGCCCGACGAGCCAGTAGTGCGGGAATGGGCATGGCATGATGCCCCCAGCGTTTGGTCCACAACAGCCATGGCATATACGTACGTGACACCCGGCGCCAATGGGTTAACTCTAAAAATGTTCTGATTATATTTAACTTTATTTTTCACTGTTGTGACCATTATCAAATAAATTTCATTTTTGATTTTGTTTATTACACTACTTGCAGTATCTGATGGCCTATTTCAGTAGAGCATAATCGGGAAAAAAGTTACCCAACTTTCACATACAAGGTCCAGGGTATTTTTAAATTCTATTTTATAAGTGCATCTTGTAATCATTTTTAAAATATATGAATGAAAAAACAGACTGAGGATCAACTAGGGCTTTTCTTTTAAGATAAATTTCTTAATCAATAGTCTCAAATTCAAAATATAACAGCAAGGCTGAATACTGAATGCTACTAATTGTTCAACACAGACAAAGATAAAGATAAAACTCCATATCTGATCATGTTCTTTGTAATAATGTGCATAATTTACATATATCAATACTCACTGTGTGCAAATGATATATGCTGCCATATGAGCTGGATCAACAAATGGTAAAAATATGTATTTCTTTTGTGGTAACACTTGGATAATCCAGAGCACCAAAAACTGTCCATATTACTACCTGCTTGCAGTCAGGGTACCAATTTAACTAATTTCTTTGGATGTTCTGCCATTATAGAATGGTAGGAGAAGACTGCAGGCCATCATCTAATAAGGTGGCATTGCAATTCAAGGTCTAATAACTCAGTGCCACAGGGAAAATGTAGTGTTCACTGAGGTATTGTTTTGAGAAATGGCTCTACACATAAATGGCTCCAGAAGTTCTTAGCCACAAAGCAATCAATCAAGTTGATCTTGTGACCTTACCTAATTTCACATTTCCTTTGTATTTTTATATCAGCTGTTTTTTAAAACATACCAATACTTTCAAAATCAAAGCTGTTATGATCATAGACACTATAATCATCTTAATGTTACTGACATTACTCACTGCTATACAGGATGAAAGAAAAGAAGAAGAAGAAGAAAAAAAAATACTACCTGCAATACAGGGTGAAAGAAAAAGAAAAAGAAAAAGAAAAAAAAAGGAAAAGCCATGGAAAAAAGAAAAAGAAAAGAAAAGAAAAGAAAAGAAAGAAAGAAAGAAAAGAAGAAGAAGAAGAAGAAGAAGAAGAAAAAAAAAAACACATCAGGTCTTTGTAATATGAGGCATGTGATTGCACAGGCATGCCTCCACAAAAACCTGAATAACCAAAGATGTGTGAAATGTCACATATGCAGAAATATATATTTCAATTGTTTCTGTGGTACATTTTTTGAAATCTCAAAAGCCTAGAAGTTTGTGTTCAACAGATTTATTATGGATATTTAAAAAAAGCCAGGAAATTGAAGTCTGTGAATAAAACAAGCTGTTGTGGTCTCTTATGCTGTGTTTGGAACTCCTTGTCCACCTAGTTTGAAATATTGGACAAGATATTTTGACCATTCAGAACATTTAATTTGGCTACAGGACAATTTGTCCATCTTGTTGATGTTTACTTTCGAGCTTGTTGCATTGTGGGCAATAAAGGCCTCAGAGGTTCTAAATGTGGCTTTGTTGTCCTGCTGGTCCTGACAAGTTGGCTGGATGAGCAAGACAAGGAATTCCGAATGCAGCACTAAGAATTCAAGCATGATGAATTTCTGGTAACAGAAATATGTGACAGAAAACTACTCATAATAATGATTAAAACTGACAATCAGATACTGCACACCATTGCGCACGCAGACTTCTTAAGATGTGCGAAATGTTGCTTGTAACAGTAATTGACTTGTTGGTGACCAAGTATTTGTGGTGCCATCTATATATAAAGACAATTAATAAACTAAACTTACAGATGCCCAGTAGCACATTTGGCATCCATTCTTGCCATGGCAAATTGTGGATATAACAACGTTTGGCACTATAGCTCGCCAGTCCCACGCTATCGGCTAATCGGACGGAGATTATTTATCTCCTGTAGTAGTGGCAACAATTTTTAATGCAACAACAAATAGTGGCTAAACTTTACAGTACTGGCACATAAAGTGAGGTTAAAACTTCACTTTTTCTAAGTCTTTAAAATGATAACAAAATAAATGCTTAAAGGTACCTAATGTTGTGTGCAAACTATTTAACAAGCCAGGCACAAACAATCCCATCTGTGCAGCCACTAACCAAAAAGATAATTCCGTGACAGAATTATAATTATCTTTTATAAGCTCATAAAAGTTATCATAAAAGCTATCCTCCGAGTTGGTCACAAATATTACAGAACATTACCAGGCACTGCCAAAGTCTGTTCTTTATTCCCAATTAGCAACTATTTTATAATGGTATTTGTACAACTGCTCTTTGTTTAGTTTCAATATACATTGTTCCTTCTTACTGTTTGAAAAATCTTATCATTTAATACTAAATTGCAGTTACAAAATTGCCCTTGTGATGTAACAATATGCTGATAATAATAAATATTTGTGAAACGACTGTCCATACAAAAGTAAATCAAGTGGTTTCGCAATTATGCACAGCAAAAATACTTTGTGTTATATGACCTGTTCCAAATTTCTAATCATCCCTTTCTTTTATGTTTTATTTTCCATGTCTACTTTAGTCTAATATCCTTTCTTCTTTTACTCTCTCCTAAATCCTAACCCTCTCTCTTACAGTGTTAAAAATTGTGTTTCAAATAAGAACATCTAAAGTAATGTGCAATGCAATAATACAATGCCAAACAACAATAAACAAACAAAATAATAAGGGTGCAACTAATGTCCTGATCGTATGCAAATCGGCCAGTAACATTGGAACAATACGAATTTCTAAATCTACATAGACAGACAGAGAAACAGAGAAGATACTTTACAGGATAACCAGGCATAAAATAAACTGCAAAACATAAGTTTTACTTGAATGTGGAAAACCATATCCATTTTCTATAATACAAGCCAATAAAAAGTTCTAATATCCTTAACAATTTTGTGCTGAAATTGGTACTGCTCTTCCATGTACTATGCACAGCTATTTATCAAGTAAAAAAAACATAAAGAGATTAAAAAGGGCCCCAGATAAATAAACTTTAATGAGCTCCTATAACAATTGTTAATAGTGTTGCCCTTTCTTCTCTTAAATAAACTGAAAATAATGATGCAAATGCAAAGAAAGTTGTAACCGCATCAATTCAGTCACCTGGCTGATCAGCTTCATATTGACAAAACAAGAACAGGATATAGATCACTAGATATACTGAAGATCAATGAAAAAGAATCACACAAAAGTAGTGGTGCTATATATGAACTTCCTGGCACATAAAACTTTACTATGTATAAAACAATGGAAAAGCAGATGAAATAACAGTTGTTCAAGTCAGGACACAGCTTGGCACTTAGCCTATTACCTCCAGGAGAATATGGGGTTCACTCAGCCTACACCACTCCAGGGAGTATGTCCAGCTAACTGGGCTTGCCTCCAGGGCCTTATTCAGACATGGCTGGTGTGTAGCACTCGCCGCACCACACCAACAAAGTGAAGTGATTTACTTATTCTTTTATCCATCCATGTGTTTTTTTTTATCTATGTATGCAAAACATGATTTTAAAGTTTATGCAAATTTAGAGATGTAACATATATTCGTTGCCAGATCGAACCTGTAGTAGCCTGATTATGTAAATTACGAGTTCATTTCAATAAAAAAAGGTATGTTACCCTCCATGTACAAGATTGAATGTGCTTTTATTGAGGGGCAGAAAAGAAATCTTATAATCACAAATTTTGTCTTTACAAAATAAGAGCTTGTATGCAAAGATATACAAGGCTGCTACTGCTGCTGCTTCAGTACTTCCCTTTTGTGTGTCATACTTGAAGACAGTCACAGAGCGCCAGAAGACAATGTGAGTAGTTGAAACGAGGAGACCAATCTTGTAAAAAGATTGATGGCTACTTAAAAGTTTTAATCAGCAGCAAGAGTTTGTCATGTTTTGAGCATGACATCTTCCACGTATAATTTTACCTTTAAAACAAAACACTGGCAAATCATAGCATTATACATGCCATTCCCCCTCAGGCAATGCCTCAGGGTATGTGGTGTGGGAATGAGGGTTCCCTATAAAGAACAGCATAAAATGTAAGGTGCCCAAGTAGGCCATGAGGTGAATAACACATCTCCCGGAGCCATGACCAAGTCATCTTTGGTGTGACCCCCACTTCTTCCTTAAGCTAAGAGGTAAAGGCCAGATCTGCTGCTAAGGAAATGGACCTACATCACAGCCATTCTACTAGTAACATTTGTGAATCAAATGTAGGAAGAACTTTACTAAAGTAAAATATTATAAAGTTTGAACTTTTTACTTTTGCTCAAAGTCAACTGATGGTCAAGCACATAAAATCAATAAAAATTCAAGCAGAAAAAAAGAAAATAGTTGAAAATACAGTATTGGGTCTCTGATTAAGGACCCCAAGCCATGCCAAATTCTTTGAAGCATTATTTTTGCCATTATTTACTGCTGAAAAAAATAAAATTAAAAGCAAAAGTAAAAAACATATATAATAATATAACAATAACAATAATAATAATCATCACCACACTAGAAACCTATATATTGCTTGAGCCCATTCTGTTTTTAGGTAGACAACAATGCTTGAGTAATGGTTAGTTTATATTTTTTATTATAAATTTTAACAGTTCATAAGTGGACAATACAGGAACTCTAATGCTTTGCACTATAGAGAGTCCAAAGGTATTTTACCCTTTAAATGGCAACTTTAAACTTTCTTTACTTTCACTGGCTTCAATAACCTATGAGGCAGTTTAACTAGTTAACTTATTACTTTCAGCATTTTATGATTTGTATATAATCCTTTACATTTGCAGTCTATCAACAAATAGGTAGCATTCCATGTGCATTCATGTACTTCCAAATGATAGTTATATGCATTAATACCCCCTCCCCCCAAAAAGGTGGCTTTTGATATTGATTCCACCCACTTAACAGGTTGTGACCCCAGGCAAAGCAGTTGTAGTATGGCACAGAGGCAAAAATTCTCTTTTTCAATCCTTTTACCTTTTCAATGCCTTTACTGTTATTCATAAATTTGATAAATTTGACACTAAATGCAGTAAATTTTTCTTTTCAAAAAGGGTCTTCAGCATTTAATATTAACTTTTGTGCCTAGTGAGCCAATAATTCACATAAATTAAGTCCATTTTAAAATTTGATCTTTATTTTTCATATGAAAATATCTATATATTTTTTTGGTGATATGAAAAACATTAATTTGCATCTTCTGCTTTGTTTCAGATATTGATGAAATTACTCCACTCTTCAAAGAACAAATAAACAATAAATAATCTAGCTTTATTTTCATTTTACACCTCAAGAATATCTATGGCTTGGGATCCTTAGAAACATACCATACACATAAAAAAGGAAAAACAGTACAGGGGATCCCCATTAATCGTCATTAGTAAAGAACTGAAAACTATGATAATTAGCAATACATAAAATTCCAAAGGAATAAACTATAAAAGGGTGTAATGTGGACAGGGACCATAACATCCAGGATTACTCAAGGCATATAGCATATTTGTTTATTCTTAAAATAATACTAAAAGTACCTAAGAAAAGTTTATATAAAACAGGTATTCAAACACTGGATGTTGTGAAAATGGTGTAATTAATGCCAACACCATCAATGTTCTGAGGGAGGGGACTGCTGGCATGTGGCAGTGACAGGAATGAGGATCAGATGATAGAGGTGTAAGTCAGAGAGGATCATGAGCCATCTCACCTTCAATTTCAACCAAAAATCAGGTGTGACTGAGGTGGATGGGTGAGGTTTATAATGCAATCCAAGTTCTAAATGAGAGTCTAATCATCCAATATCAAATATGTGCTCTCGGCTTTTATTTTTTTTAATGACTTCCATTTTCACATCCAGCATCAATACAACTTGCTGACGACTAGCCTTGGGAAGGTTCGCATCACTTATCATTTATTAATGAGTCTAAAAGGTAAATCAACAATTACACACCAGTGCCTATGAGTGCACTGGTGCTGTGGTATCTGGCTGTATCAGTGGCTGGAAAGAAGACATGTACTGCTCATGCTATTTTGTTTCACTTCGAAGCATCTTTAATAATTTTTTCTCATGTGTTTGCTGACGTATATAAATTTTCAAAACTTTTATTACAAATATTGAATAGCAATTAACAATGCTTATACAAATCTGTTAGTGATAAAAAAATGAAATGACGAACAATGGGGAACCCCTCAAGAAAAAGTCAGTATGTGAGGCATTTTATTTTATATAAACATAAACACAAACACACAAATTCTCACCTGTGTATACATTGCAGGCTGCATTTCTCCATTAGCAGGATGCATATATTGCGTTTGATTTATAGTTTCTATCTGAAGACTAGGTTCATCCAAAACTGGTGAAGTATGTGGGTTGGCACCTTGGACGGGTGGACCGGTATTCCCAATTTCTCTACTGATAGTTCCAGCTTCATTTCCTTTCTGCTCAGACAACGGCTCAGACATGTTTTGTTCAACCTTGAAAATTGAAATGCTTCAGACAATGGAATGTAATTCTAATACAGAATGATTAAAAATATATCTACCTCAATAAAAAAAAGAAGAAAAGAATGAAAGAAAATCTTTCTTTGATAATAATGGCAATTACAATGGTTATATGAAAATGAAATAGAAATTTAATGAATAGAGACAGGTAAAAGATATTGTTTTGTGAGGAAGAGGAAGAGAAAAATTGAGCTGGAGTAAAAGAAAGGAGAGGGGGAGGGGAAGAGGGGGAAAGGGAAAAAGAGGGAGAAAGGGAGGGATGAGAGAGGGGAGTGAGGACAAGAAAGGGGGAGAGGAAGTGAGGACGAGAAAGGGGGAGAGAAAGTAAGGACGAGAAA